CATCCTCACTCCGACACACATTCTCTTCAAAACATCATCACTTCCACACACATTCTCTTCAAGACCTATCTGAGGTATCAGCTGAAGTACTTCTCAGCAGTATCACGTGCTGCTGGAAACCTATAGAGGTCAACCTCCTGGCTCACCTTCATTCCAAACCATCCTCACTCCGACACACACTCCCTTCAAGACATCACTACTTCCACACACATTCCCCTCCAGACATCATTACTTCCACACACAGCAACACCAACACACCATCTTCTGAGATACTCAATCTGCAACTGACGCCATCGCTCGCAACAGCGTGCTCAATCATGGCCATGCGCCAAGGTTCCACAGGCCGCGACGTCCGACCTGATTTGGATGACGATGGCAACCTAAAGAGCGGCAGCTATGAGCCTGACGAGAGCGGCGACCCTACCCTGCCATCACACTACAAGAGTGATGACGGACACGAATCATCAATTTCAGACGACGATKAAGGTTCGGAAGGCTGGTGCCCCGATCCTGGCGTGCAGGTGACACCGAACGACACCGTTCCGGATGGCTACTTCGAATGGCAAGGCAAAGACGGTGTTATCCATGTTGATCCGATTACCGAAGACGAGTATGTACGGACTCCAGAAGAAGTAAGTCATCAGAGCCATCAGGTTTGCAATGAAACACAACGGCAGATGGGCCGTTCGGCTGCAGCGACGGGCGGAGACTTATGACCGCTTGGTATATATACCCGATTTGGTTGGGGCAGATTTCATTCGCTAATGGTTTTGCACAGGAGGAGGACTCTCTAGAATTCAAGGACAAGACCGACAAACAACTTGAGCGTATGGATACCCTGATATTATAATGAGCGACTGCTTGATCGTGGAGCCATCTATGGCACCGAGCCTGACCCGAATGGGACGATCGAGGTGACTGGTACAAACCCGAAGACCGGCCGTAATGTTGCTGTGGACGTTGAAACGAAAGTCAAGTACATCGAGATCACCCCAGCAGGACGCCGGCCGTACCTGAAGCCAGTGAAAGGTCAGAGGATGAGAGATGAGTACGCCGCAGCAGTCGCGGAAGAGAGACGCAACACCCATGGAGGAGAACGCCCGTCTCTGATCGTCACGCTCAAGGTCAAGACTGAGCTTGGAATTTCCAAGAAGAGTGCTCCCAAGGCTAAGCCCAGACCCAAGGAGTCTACTAGGCCGCCTCTCCTTGTCGTGCCTCAATAACAACGCTCACGGATAGGGAGCGAAAAGCACAAAAAAAGTGGCGACCTTGCGGAGAGTCAAAGACGGAGACGGGGAATCGAATGTGTTATGAATCATCCGAGGGCCAGTGAAAAGCGGCAACCTTGCGGAGAGTCAAAGACGGGGGATCGTGTATATTATGAATCTTCAGGGGGCTAGTGAAATTGAAGATTGTCGCCTCTCGATGTAATATATTAGCGACAACGCTTACGAATAGGGAGCTATAAGCACAAAAAGTGGTAACCTTACGGAGAGTCAAAGATAGGGGACCGAATGTCTCATAAACCATCCGA